TGGTTAAGGTTGTCATATTTTGTGATGTCAATGTAGGAATCATAATATAATAAGAGATTTTTCCTGATTTGTGAATTTATGTGCATGAAACATTATACAGAAGTATAGAAATTAAATATTTAGATATATATTTAAAATTTTATTTGTAAAAGAAAAATGTTCTGTGAAATGCATACAATATTCAACAATATTTGGGTGTTCATTTTTGTCACACACTGTAGAACTTAATAACAACTGTCCTTTTTCATGGAATTCAGAATTGCTAAAAATTATTTATATTCCTTAATGTATTCAAATATCTCTTGAAAAACTCTTTGGACAATTCTTTTTGTGTGTGTGTTTGTTTTGAACCCCAGTTACAGCTGATTTCCACAAGGACATTGACCAGGGAAGGCCTGTTTGAGGAAGGGTCATTTACCAGGATGACAGCAGCTAGCTGTGTGAAGGAGCACTCAGGCAGAAGAAAGAGCAAGTAAAAAAGTCCCAGTTGAGGGAAAGCTTGTCATATTCTAGGAATGATATAAACTGCATGAAAGGAGGTAAAAAGTGGTATCTTTAATCTCCCCCCTCCCTCCGGATCCATTGTCCACCCACCCTGTGCCCAGAAGGCTGACTCCCAAGGACGGCATCAGCTGCTCCCTTGCCCTCTGCTTTCTGGATGAATTCAGCCACAGGGTGGCACTGGTAGGAGATGAGAAGGGAGGAGAGTGGAGTCAGGAGCTTTTTATTTTTTTAGATTAAAGAAAATTTTTTTATTGTATACTTTTTCCATTGCCATTTGTCCCCCCTTACACCCTCCTCCTCCTACCTCCAAAATCACCAGACATTGAGCAAAAAGGAAAAATGACTCAAATACCTGGACAATAGATATATTGGGTTGGCCAAAAATTTTGTTTTGTTTTGTTTTGTTTTCCCATAAGATGATTCTAGTAGTGCTTAGTTGTCTTGAACTTCATTCAAAACAACTTTGCTAGATTGTATTGTGACAGCTGTCATATCAGTGTGCATTTAAAAAAACATCAAAATTGGTAAACTTTTATGTAGGTATTTTAATATTGAGGATGGAAGAAAATATGCAACATTTTCAGCACATTATGCTTTACTTCAAGAAAGGTAAAAATGCAACAGAAACACACAAAAAATATTGTGCAGTGTATGGAGAAGATGCTGTGACTGATAAAATGCATCAAAAGTGGTTTGCAAAGTTTTGTGCTGGAGATTTCTTTCTGGAAGATGCTCAATGATTGGGTAGACCAGTTGAAGCTGATAGTGATCAAATCGAGATATTAATTGAGAACAATTAATATTATACCACACAGGAGATAGCTGACATACTCAAAATATCCAAATCAATGAAGTTATTGGTAAAAATGAAAAATGTATCTTTTATTATAAGGAAAAAACTATACAGACTTTTTGGCCAACCCAATATTTTCTTGGCTGCATCCTCTACTGAAGGCTACAGTCCCTGTCAGCAGCCCTCTTACACAGCTCTCAGGCCTTGGCTGGTAACATAGCTCCCAGCTGTGAGTAGGCACAGGGTGCTGCACCTTCCATGTGGCTTCGCCCTTACCTGTGATCAGACATATTTTTAAAAGATCAGTCTGGTTGTTTTAAACTATGAACTGGAGAAATGGAGGTTTAGGGCAAGAGGAAGGGAAACAGAGAGATTTGACAGTAACAGTTAAAACCAGGACTGACTTTTAGAATCTTAACATGTGGACACTGAGAAACACAGCAATCTGAGCTCTATTTATTATTCCACTTTTTCAATCACTATTTGTGAGCCAGGCATTACTGTAGGCACTCAGGATAAATAGATAAATAAGTCATATACTTGAAAGAGATAAGTGGCAAGGAATAATAAAAAAGTAGAGCAAGGTAATGGGGTGGTGAGTGCGGGGGTGGTAGAAGTGGGTGCAGTTGTAAATAATTCATCACTGAGAAGGTGACACTTGAGCTAAGGCTTGGAGAAGGTGGGGGGATGAGCCATGTGGAGACTATTACAGGCAGAGGAGGAGGTCACTGTCAAGGTGCCAACACAAGGGCAGGTCTGACCATGTCAGGAGCAGCAGAGGCCAGTGCAGTGAGAGCTCAGGGGCCTGGGGGTGAGGGGAGGAAAAAGGTCAGAGAGGCTGCAGAAGCCATACCAGGCAGGGCCTTTCTTGGGGATTTGTTTGGGGAACAGTCAGCAGAGAAGAGGTAACTGCTCCCCCTCCTCTCTACCCCCTCCTGTGAGTCAACTTGCCCTCCACCTTGGGGAGAGGTGAGCACTCCCACACAGTCTCCTTCTACCCACTGTTCCATGACGGACAGGAGGGGAGGTTCAGTAATCACTCTTAGTTTCTCAGAATGCATTAGTCCTGTCTAATTGCATCTATGCAGTGTCTAGCAAAAAAAAAAAAAAATGATGGCCTAATTCTCCAGCATCTGTAAAATATTGGCCTCCTGGGAGAAGAAAAATGAAATTACACCATTAACCCTGCAGGGGCACGGCAGCGAAGTCACTCAGAGTCCCCATGGCAGCACATGCCTACCAGGTGGCTGGAGGACGGGCTTCAGAGCCCCAGAGCGAAGATACTGATTTTTGTGCCACTGACGAAGATGTATCATTGTATTTTCAGAATATCTTTGGGAGCAAAAAAAGAAAAAGTCTCTCTTATTACTCTCTCCACTTGTGAGCAGTAAATTTAAAATAAAAATTTTTAAGCCCTGGCTGGCGTAGCTCAGTGGATTGAGTGTGGGCTGCGAACCAAAGTGTTGCAAGTTGGATTCCCAGTCAGGGCATATGCCTGGGTTGCAGGCCACGGCCCCCAGCAACTGCACATTGATGTTTTTCTCTCTCTCTCTTTCTCCCTCCCTTCCCTCTCTAAAAATAAATAAATAAAATCTTTAAAAATAAATAAATAAATAAATAAATTTTAAAGCTTTTTATTATGAAAAATTTCAGTTACATATAAAATTTGAGAGGATAATATATTAAATTTCTGAGTACTCATTACCCAGGTTCAATAATTATCAACTAATGGGCAACTCTATTTTTCTATTTATGTAACTATATATTTTTTTCTGGGGTATTTTAAAGTATATTCCAGGTATCAATATGTGTTGAGCACTTACTATATGTCAGACACTATTCTAGATGCTCAAAATGCAGCAACAAAAGGGTATATAGACAAAAATTCCTGCCCACAAAAATCATACAATCTAACCTAACTGCATTGGCCTGTGACAGAGAGAGTGACGGCAGCAGTGACAGTGACATCAGTGAGAGCAAATAAAAGAGGGTCAGTCAGGAGCACCTGTGCCCTAAAGTAAGATGTTAATATTTAACCATGATATGAACAAAACAAGAATATAGATTTGGTAAAAAAAAATTTCACAGTCTAATTGGGGAGAAAGATAAAAACAAAATCAGTAAGTGAATGGATGGTATATTAGGTGTCAAGTGCAATGGAGAAATAAATATAAGGCAGGGGAGAGGAGGGGAGTGCAGGTGCAGGGGTTACAACTTTAAACAAGGGGGTTAGGGTGTGTGTGCTAAACTTTGGGAGGCGCTGCTCAGATCTCACTTCAGGACGGAAGAACATGTTTCCCCAGCTGCTGAAAAGAATGCCTTTACCCAAGGTTATGACTCTTTCCTGGGAAGACCTGCATCCAATGACTGACCTATGCAAGGGTATAAATGCCTACGCCTCTAGCTTCTACTCAGAACAGATTGGCTAAAGCTTCCATTAAAACTATGTTGCAGCTTAACTTCCTTCTCTGCCAAATCCTGCATCTTTCCCAGTCTTTCCCTTTCATAGTTGTTTATTCAAGAGGATACCGTAATAAACTTCCTGCATGCTAACCTCCACTTCAGAGTCTGCTTCCCAGGAAAGGGCAACCTGAGACAGTCCACCTTCCTGAAAACGTGGCTTCTTAGCAAAGATATGTATGTAAAGGACTGAGCCCTGCTAATAAGGTATTCCATGGAGAATCACACCAGCAGAGTGGCTAATAGTTCTTTAAGGAGCTGGCAGCTCCTGGCACTGTAAGACTGTGATGATCCTCCACTGTGACACAGTCATAATAATCTTAGCATTTGAAGACCAAAGGTAAACAGGCAATCCTCTGTCACTTCATTGATTTAAGTAAATGGATTTCCAGATGCTGTAAGAAGGGCTGAAAAATGAAAGATGAGTAAGACAAGATCCTTTCCTTGGAGAAGGTCACAGTTTAGTGGGACAGATAGCTAGATGTGTAAGCAGATAATTACAGTCAGAGATACAATTTTGTAGCTACATGTACCAAATATTTTTTAGAAAAAAAAAACATGCACCAAAACTGCATACATCAAAAGTTAGCAGTGGTTATCTCTGTCAGATGACTTTTTCCTTTTTGCCCACCTGTATTTTCAGAATTTTTCCTTTGATGTATATTTATTATTTTTGAAATAAGAAGAAAAGAGGCATGTACAAAAAGCACACAGGGATACATGCTATATTGGACATGTGCACAGTATTCTGTGGAAGTGAATTGTCTGGGAAGTCAGAGAAACCTGGCAGCATCCGCCTTCCCAGTCTTATACCCACGTGTGTCCTGCACAGGCCGTCCGAGTGCGATGCCTGGCCTTCTTCGGATTCTGGCCCAAGTGAACCAACTGTAAAAATATTTGTAATGAAAGCGGGGAAATTTAAACTCTGACTGGACATTTGATGAAAACAAGGTAGTATTATTATTATGAGGTATGATAAAGATATTCCAGTAATGTTGGGAAAAAAAGAATCCTTATCTTTTAGGTAAACATGCTGACATACTTATGGATGAAGTGATATGAAATTTGGGATTTTTATGGGTAAATAATCCATTGGGAGTGCAAAGTGGTTGGAAATATAAAATAAAAAGAATGGTCACATGAGTTAACGATTACTGAAGTTGGGTAATGAATTTGTGAAAGTACATTTCAATATATTCTCTACTTTTGTGTTTGAAATTTTGTAATAATAAAATGTACAACAGTGCTCACTTCAGCAGCACATACACTAAAATATGAATGATACAGAGAAGATTAGCATGGCCCCTGTGCAAGGATGGCATGCAAATTTGTGAAGCATTCTATATTTTAAAAAAATAGGCAATAATAATTCATATAATAATATTTTCTATAATAAATAACAACGTCTTTCAAATAAGTCTTCAAGTTTCAGCTCAAAAGGTACCTTCACTAATAAATAAGGAAATGACAACCAACCCATGAGCGTGCTGATGCCTCCACAAGCAGCTGCGACTCACTGCGCATGCATGTTGTCTGTTTCATGGTCATCTGATCTGTGTCGATGACTGTTGTCTTACAATTACAACATATATTTTTTAAAGATTTTATTTATTTATCTTCAGAGAGGAAAGGGAGGGAGATAGAGAGAGACACACACACACATCAATGTGCGGTTGCTGGGGGCCATGGCCTGCAACCCAGGCATGTACCCTGACTGGGAATCAAACCTGCGACACTTTGGTTTGCAGTCCGTGCTCAATCCACTGAGCTACACCAGCCAGGGCACAACATATATTTTTATATCACTCAACATTTATAGTGTGCTTACATACAATAATCAAATATTTTAATCTTTTCATTATTAAGAAAAGAGGTATCTTTTCTTTGAAACCTTTCCTGACCATTTAATTTTTGCACCCAACCTCAACTTTGCACATACAATGGGGAACCCATAATACATTCTTGTGCTTATTTGTTCATTCATATTTCAATGAGATAAGAGTGTAGCACATGAAACCTATTTAGTAAATAGTTGTGGTTATTGTTGTTACTGTTATAATCACAGTCTTTTCTCTCTATCAGATTATAAGACCAGTGATCATATCTTAGTTGTCTTTGTATACCCAGAAATTATCTCAATATCTGGTACATTTCAATTGCTCAATAAACATCTATTACATGAATGAGTGAATAAATAAGACTTAGGAGTACTCCCCTCATAGACCCATACTAAATTCAGCAAAAACATGCTTAAGACTGAGGAATGTAAACTAATTCATGCCTTATGTTTACTCAGTGCTCCACAGCTCATATTATCAGAAACATAAAATGTTCCTAGATTTACTGTCCATTTAACACAGTCCATTTCAGTCCAGATGGCAGAGAAAAGTCAAATACCTTTTTTTTTATTGTTGACAAGCAATGCAACGTCCTCAACAACCATGCTTTACCTCTTTCTGTCCTGAGCTGCTTCTCCCAACTTCCAACATATATTGAGGGTAGAATTGAGTCAGGAATAGGACAAAGAATGGAGAAAGGCTGAGAGATTAGGTCAGTGATAGAGTCTCAGAATCAGTGAATGACTACTTCACATGATATTTGGTAATGTTTCTTAAAAGCTGAAACCATTTAATGATATTTTTTAAAGTCTGTGTCAAAATATTCATGGCATTAAAATTACTTGATCTAAACGTGTATCCATTCAATCTCCACAATAACATTGTGAGGTAAACATGGCCTACCATCTCTGTTTTAAAGAAGAGGATACTGGAAATTTACTCTTAACTCAGCTGGGATTTTCAGTTATGATTAAATTTTTTTTATTTTTAAATTTAAAAAATTTTTTTAATTGTTCAGTTACAGGTGTCCCCATTTCTCTCCCCTGCCCTGCTCACCCTCCACCTATCACTGATTAAAAATTTTTAATGCAGTATACTGAGATAATAATGCTATATTATCCCTGCCAAGAAACAATTGTGTGTTTGAAGTACTGTTAGATGAAAGGTACTCTAAGCCCTGGCTGGTGTGGCTCAGTGGACTGAGTGCTGGTCTGAGAACCAGTGTTGCTGGTTTGATTCCCAGTCAGGTCACATGCCTGGGTTGCTGGCCAGATCCCCCATGGTAACGTGTGAGAGGCAACCACACATTGATATTTCTCTCCCTCTCTTTCTCCCTCCCTTCCCCCCCACTCTCTCTCTCTGAAAAGTAAGTAAAATCTTTAGGAAAAGTACTCTAAAAATTCAGGAGGAATATCTAGGGATCAAGGAGTCCTGTCCTACACCAACCCCTCCAGGTCCCCTAACCCAGGGTACCTGTGCCATTAATATAAGTCCCCATAACTTCTGGCTGCAGAAACCAGTGGGGACTGAGTCAGTAGAAGAAATTTCTGGAGTAGTCAAGCATTTCCTTTTAAAGAACTCATACACGGACTTACTCAGACTCACTCTCTCAGGGTAGCAGCTTGAAAGGCACCAATGGCACACAGGGAGGAAGTGTCTGGCATCAAGGCAAGAGCTGGGGGACAGCTTTCTCCAAGACAGAAAGGCAGGCAGAGGCCATTGTTCCTTTTCTGAGCCTTCCCCCCATGGAGCCACATTGCCGGCAGTCAGGTGCCACATCTGAGACTCCATTGACCTGGCTAATACCATTTAGATCCCCTGGAGATCCCCTAAGACTCCATTCCACCCAAATTATGGGCACACTCAAGCTGTTAACAGAGACTTTTCCATATGAATTGCAGGTCTTGGCTCACGTTTCACAACTTCCCAAATCCTCCCAAACAAGCAACAGCTGGCCTCAGTGAGTCCCAAGTCCCCATACCTCTTGTTAAGTAGCCTCAGGCCCAGCACTAGCATCAGCCAGCCTAGATGCACAGCTTTGCTTAGCCTGGGAATCTCTAAATCAAGCACAAATAGCAGCCATATCAGATTCCTTTATAGCCCAGGAAGGATGGCCCCAGGCAAAATACAGGTGGGAGCTGACCTTGGCCTGCACCACCCAGGAAACTGCAGAGCCTTTGCACCCATTGGAAAGTGACAGACCACATCAGAGCACCACAACTCTGCCCCTGCACAATTGATCCTCTGTGGAGGGTGGAGGTTGGTGATCAGTGATCACAGACAGTCCTTGCAGCTGACTGGCCTGGGTAAATTGTTCCCATTGACCTGCCAATATCAATCAAAGCTCGACTGCAAGAGAAGGATTTACTCAGCCCACACAAGGGGCACACCTCAGGTAACCAGCTAGGGTGATAGGAGAGGGTGTGCCACTGTACCCTACAGGACACCTACTATATTAGGCCACACTACCAAGATAGGGAGTCATAGCAGCTTGACCTAATACATAGAAACAAACACAGGGAGGCTGCTAGAATGAGGAGACAAAAAAAACATGGCCCAAATAAAAGAACTGATTAAAACTCCAGAAAAAGAACTAAACAAAATGGAGATAAGCAATCTATCAGATGCAGAGTTCAAAACATTGGTTATAAGGATGCTCAAGGAACTTAGTGAGGACCTCAACAGCATAAAAAAGATCCAGTCAGAAACAAAGTGTTCACTAATTAAGTTAAAGAAGAATTTACAGGGAAACAATAGTTGGGTGGATGATGCTGAGAATCAAATCAGTGATTTGGAACATAAGGAAGCAAAAGACAACCAAACAGAACAAGAAGAAAAAAAGAACCCCCCCAAAAAAAATGAGCGTAGTGTAAGGATACTCTGTGACAACTTCAAGAATACCAACATTCCCACTCTGGTGGTGCTGGAAGAAGGAGAGAAAGCAAGAAATGTAAAACATATTCTAAAAATTAATGAAAGAAAATATCCATAATTTGGTGAAGGAAATAGACATGCAAATCCAGGAAGCAAAGGGAGTCCCAATCAAGATAGATGCAAAGAGGCTCACTTCATGGCACATCACAATTAAAATGCCAAAGGTGAAAGATAAAGAGAGAATCTCAAAAGCAGCAAGAGAAAAGCAGTTACCTACAGTGGCATCCACATAAGACTGTCAGTTCATTTCTCAAAAGAAACTGCAGGATAGAAGGGATTGATGAGAAGTATTCAGAGTGATAAAAAGCAAGGACCTACAACCTAGATTACTCTATCTAGCAAAGCTATCATTTAAAATTGAAGGGCAGATAAAGAGTTTCCCAGACAAGAAAAAAAACTAAAGGAGTTCATCATTACCAAACCATTATTACATGAAATGTTGAAGGTGCTTATCTAAGAAAAAAAAGATAAAAAATATGAAGATTAAAATGGCAATAAATACATATCTACTAACAATTTAATCTATAAAACAAACTAAGCAAAAAAGCAGAACAGAAACAGAATAACAGATATGGAGAACATTGGGATGGTGGTCAGTAGGGATAGGAGTCTGGGGAAATGGGGGAAAAGTGAAGGGATTAAGAAGTACAAATTGGTAGTTACAGAATAGGCAGGGGGATGTTAAGAGCAAATATAGGAAATGGAGTTGCCAAAGAAATTATATGCATGGCTCATGGACAAAGGGGAAGGTTTCACTGGAGGATATTGGGGGGTGTTGGGTGGAGGGGGGGCAAAAGGGGAAAATTGGGACAATTGTAATAGCATAATCAATAAAAAGTACTCTTTAGGTTCTTAAAGGAAGTACATGAGTGATTTCCAAACTCAACAACCTGCAGGAGGAGGGAAATTTGTTTGTTAGTTTGTTTTTTATTTGTTTTTAGTTACTTGAATGACTGACTTGCTCCTTGGAAAGCAGGGGTGCAGAAATCAAAGGCCTGATTGTGCTGAATCCTTCTCTTTTCATCGTTATTCAGTCTGGTTCCCAGCATGCTACAGTCCAAAGGAAAGTGTCCAAGTAGTTTCAAAATTAGACTAAAGAGCTTACTCAGCACCCTGCTCACAGCAGTGTTCCTTGCTTTCATCTTTAAATGCCCTTTATTACATAATAATCTTAGGTTTCTGGGAATATTTTCAAAACACAGAGAGTACCTCCTTGACCTAATTATGATCAAAAATGCTTTTTCATTACTGTCCCCTCTCTTCAAGGTCCCCTGAAACAACCAGGTTTTTAGGCAAAATTGAGTCCTGGGGAAGAATTTTACAGAAGTGTAGCTGTTTGCTTTGTTGTTTTTGTTGTTGTTGTTTACTTTTAGGTAGTGGTGGTGGGGAAGGGACAGCTGTCTCCCTTGGTGAGAATGGATAATTTTATAATAAAACTGGCCCTTGCTGACCAGCTATCCAGGAATGTGAGGCTATTCGCTCTAGGGGAACAGGCAATGATTTTTTTTTTAAGTTCTGTTTCAGCATCTAGGAAACTGAGAGTGTGTTGCAGCAATCTATCAGAAAGAATGCTTCTTGATTTTCCCATTAAAAGAACTCCATGGAACTGAGACACAAATAAGTGCACCAAGAGACCCCTTGATACATCAACCCAATCACAAAAAGCAGGGCTTTCTAGGGATTATATTTACCTTTCAATAGAAGGTGGAATGGAAAGGGATTCTGGTGCAGATATCCCAGAATAATCCCAAAGCAGAACCCTTCACACAGGTTACCTAGCTTTCCTTGACAGGTACACGGGCAGAGAAGGCATTTGGTCCTTGAAGTAGCGTTTACTTGGGGAATTAGCACGATGATGTCCAAGCTCTCGGTGACCCAGGTGACCCTGGATCAGCCCTGGATCAGCTGCAAGGAGCAGCCCCGGGACTGCGGCACAGAAAGTACGCCAGCCGACCGGCCACCCTCCCCACCCCCCCCCCCCCGCCCCATCCCTTTCCCAGGAGATTGGAGTAGCATTGGAGCCGCTGACGCCATCCTTTCCCGCCTCTGCCTTGCAGGGAGCATGCGCTTCCTTCCTCACTTCCTCTCCAGGAGAGAGGGAGTGAGGCTACGCCCTAGCGGATCCGCGGCGGCTCCTCGTCACAGGAACTTCAGCACCCAAGGGGCGGACAGCGCTCCCTTGCACCTGAAGACCGGACTCAGAGCCCGGAGCCTTTCTAACCTTCCCTCCGAAGCCGCGTCTAGCTCCGCGCGCCGCAGGGTTCCCACCACTCTTCCTCCCCTCACCCGCCCTCCGCGCTCTTGCTCTTCCTGTCGTTAGTCCTCTTTTTCATTCATAACAAAAGCTACAGCCCCGAGACCCCGGCGCCAGGCTGTTTCCGAAGCCAGGAGCGAAGAATGGGGTTCCTGTGGACCGGCACTTGGATTCTGGTTTTGGTGGTCCACAGCAGCCCGATTCAAGCTTTCCCCAAACCGGGAGGCATCCAAGGTACGTGGCCACTTTCCTTCCCACCTCCCCTTTATTCGCCACGAAAAGGCGAAGCTGGGCAATATACGTGAACTGTAAATCACCTTGCCTCTTTTTCTGATCAGATCAGATCAGTGCATATTGACAGAGAAATCATTTCGAATTTAGAGACACATCTCTTCCCTCACTTTTTGTATAATGGAGCAATAACCTGGATTGTTTTGAAAGATTTTGTTTTGAAATTGGGAGAGGGTAGCTTTTCTGCCTAATAAAAAGGCTTTTTTTTTTCTAGTTGTCTTAATCTTTCTCAGATACTCTGTTCATAATAGGTACAGTGTATGTTAAAAGCTTTTAATGTGCTTATAATACCAATCCAAATTATGGTCTGTCTAGTTGAAAACAGCTGGAAAGCCAAGTGGTAGAACTATATGTTAGTTTCTGGTAAGAAAAAAAGTGTAATTCAGTTAACTCAGGAAATAAAGAGGACAATAAGCAAGATAACATGATGCTCATTGTTCTTGTATAATCTTAATAATATTTGTTAATACGTAATTTTGTTTCATGGTTATCCAAAATATGTCTGCTAATATTTGTTTTTCTTTATGAAAATTTTATTTCTTAGGAGACATATTATGTCTTTCCGATGCACAATTAAATTTATATTTGTATGTTCATTCTAGACAAGCCTGTACATAATAGAGAATTAAGTGCAGAAAGACCTCTGAATGAACAGGTAAGTCAAAAATAAAAATATACATGCTATTTCTATTTATTTTAGTTGCTATAATTTAATGTAATTATGCTGTGACATTTTAGCCATTTTGAGTTCACAAACTTCAGGAGATTAATGATAAATTGACAGAAACTAGGATGAGAAATACAATTTTCATAATATCTATGTAATATCTGTATTATAGAGTTGACTGTATAATAACCCAGTGAGGTCCACATCACATCCACTCTATTGTAGGATTGCTTGATTTATCAGGGATTTACTTTTCACCAATATTGTAGGAGAAGAGGATTAATAGTTATAGACCATCTGCTCTTTTTTTACCTCATTTAATCCTTATGACAATACTTTGATATAGAAATTATTATCTATAGTTTACAAACAAGAAAACCAAATCCCATGGAGATTAAATCATTTAGCTGTCATATTTGGTAAGTGGTAGAGCAATGATTTAAAACCAGGTCTATCTCCTGTTTGTTTCACAGATTGCTGAAGCAGAAGCAGACAAGATTAAACAAACATACCCTCCAGGTAAAAAGAAAGTATACTGATATTAATTTACATGATGTAGGCTATGAAAACCTTAACTAAAATGAATGTTTTGGGTTTGGGGGCTTTTCTTTCAGAAAACAAGCCAAATGAAAGCAATTATTCCTTTGTTGATAACTTGAACCTGCTAAAGGCAATAGCAGAAAAGGAAAAAATTGAAAAAGAAAGACAATCCATAAGAAGTTCCCCATATGATAATAAATTGAACATGGAAGATGTTGATTCAACCAAAAATCGAAGACTAATTGACGATTATGATTCTACTAAGAGTGGACTGGACCAGAAATTTCAAGGTAAATGAGGAAAATAATTGCTACCTGTTTGTCTAATTTGGCATTTCCAATTATGGGTTAGGAGAAAGTACTATACCTTAAAAAATAGACTCATAATCATGGATTAGTCAGGTCCAAAACTGAGAAAAAGCCCAAATTTACTGACAGTATACAAAGCCCCAGCTCCACAGAAGTCCAAATTCTATTTTTTCATTAAAGGTCCCTTTACTGATGCTTTGAAAAAAAATTTAAATCTATATTTTATGCTATTTATGATTTAATATTTTAACTATTAGTACCAACAAAATATTATAATTCTCAAATGATTGAATCAACAAAACACCCACTTCCCAAAGGTGAAATACCCATTACTCTCTGTTCAGGGTTCTCTTTCTAGCTATAGCCTTTCTCCCTAGGTCATTCTAACCTTTTCATGGCTTCAGTTACCATCTCTATCCTGCTGTAACATATCATTAGTATAGACTTTTCTGAGCTATAGATATGTACATACATACATACCTATATACAGATACATACAATGAGGTCTATCCAGAAAGAGTGCAGCCATTGTTAACATAATGAGAATGGTTTGTGTGACATCGATGTAAGCTGGCAGCCAAAGAGAGTGGACTAGATTGCTCATGTGTAAACAATGACAACTTCACTCTACTAGTCAGTGGACTCAGTAAATACCATTGAGCATGTGAACTGGTGGCCATCACATCCAAAATGACTGAGCAAGTACAGCAACTAATCTGCATTGAATTTTGCATTAAATTGAACATTCCTCCACGGGAACTATTCAGATTGTTCAGAAGGCCACAGCTATGGCCAATTGGTGATTAAGAGCTTTATCATTACAACACACCTGCTCCTGCATCATATCTCTTGCAGAGTTTTTGACGAAACATCAAATTACCCAGGTGAGGCGCAAACCATTCTTGTTATGTTAACAATGGCTGGACTTTTTCTGGGCAGACCTCAGCTATGTAGACACATATGTCAGTCTACTTACTTAATAACTTGCTTTAGAAGTCTCAGAAGCAGCTCAAACTTAACATGGCTAAGATTAATCTCATATCTGTACACCTTACAACCTAGCCCTCTTAAAGTGCTCTTTCTCTAAGGAAGACACTACTACTGTGCAATTGTTCTTTTTATTTTAAAGATTTTATTTATTTATTTATTCTCAGAGAGAGGGGAAGGGATGGAGAAAGAGGAGAGAAACATCACTGTGAAAAAGAAACATTGATTAGTTGCCTCTTTCAGGCATCCTGACCAGGAACCAAACCCACAACCTGGGCATGTGCTCTGATTGGGAATCAAACCAGTGACCTTTTGTTTTATGGGATGATACCCAACCCAGTTACACCAGTTAGGGCAATGCAGTTTTTCAAGACAGAAATCTAGAAATTAAACTATTTCTCTTTTTCCTCACCTCTCAAATGATAATCCACCAATCTTATCAATTTTACTTCCTGTATCTGTCAAATTTTTTGTTTCTTTTTGTTATTTAATTTTTACTGTATTTTTCCAATTACCATTTAGCCCCCTTATATCCCCTCTCCTCACCAACCACCACACCATTGTCCATGTCCATGAGAACTTTTACCTTTTTGCTCAATCCCTCCACCCACTAACCTCCCTCCTACTAGCTGTCATCTTGCTGTCCATCTATGAATCTGTCCCAGTTTTCCTTGTTAGTTCAGTTTGTTCATTAGGTTTCACATATGAGTGAAATCATATGGTATTTGTCTTTCTTTGACTGGCTTATTTCACTTAGCATAATGTTCTCCAGGTCCATCCATACTGTCTCAAAAAAGTAAAATTTTCTTCTTTTTATGGGCAAGTAATATTCCATAGTGTAAATGTCTCATAGTTGTTCTATCCACTCATCTACTGATGGACACTTAGGCTCCTTCCACATCCTAGCAATTGTAAATAACACTACAATGAACACAGGGGTGCTCATGTTCTTTCAAATTAGTGTTTTGAGTTCTCTGGGCTATATTCCCAGAAGTAGGGTCTCTGGGTCAAAAGGCAAATCCATTTTTAATTTCTTTATGTCCACCGTGGCTCCACCAATCTGCATTCCAACCAAGAGTGCAAAAGTGTTCCTTTTTCTCCATATCTTTGTCAGCACTTGCTGTTTGTTGATTTATTGATGATAGGCATTCTGACAGGCATGAGATAGTATCTCATTGTGGTTTTAATTTGCATTTCTCTGACGATTAGTGATGTTGAGCATCTTCTCATATGTCTGTTGGCCATCTTTATGTCCTCTTTGGAGAAGTGTCTATTCAGGTCCTTTGCCCATTTTTTAATTGGGTTGTTTGTTTTCTTGGTGTTGAGTTTTGTAAGTTCTTTATAAATTTGGGATTTAACCCTTTAGCAGATATATCAGCAAATATATTCTCTCATTCTGTGGGCTGTCATTTTATTTTATTGATGATTTCCTTTGCTGTGCAAAAACTTTTTAGTGTGATGAGTCCCATTTGTTTATTTTTTCTATTGTTTCCCTTGCCTTGGGAGATATATATGATAAAATATTGCTATGAGCAATGTCTGAGATTTTGCTGTTTATGTTTTCTTCTATAATTTTTATGGTTTCAGGTCTAACATTTAAGTGTTTCATTCATTTTGAATTTATTCTTCTGTGTTGTGTAAGAAGATGATCTAGTTTTATTTTTCTGCACATATCTGTCCAATTTTTCCCAATACAATTTATTGAATAAACTAGCTTTAACTCATTGTATGTGCTTGCTTCCTTTGTCAAATATTAATTGACTATAAAGGTGTGGGTTTATTTCTGGGATCTCTATTTTGTTCCATTGATTTACGTGTCTGTTTTTGTGCCAGTGTCAAGTTGTTTTGATTACTATGGCCTTATAGTATAGTAATACTATACTATACTGTATTATAGGGTGTTTCACATCTTTAGGAAACTGCCAAATGGGCTACAGGGGCCATTAATTCTCCTTTTCAATGTGTTCTGCAGTATGTAAGATTCAGGATATTTTCCAAGTTTATTTTATGCAATAGTGCTTTCAGGCCTCTGTGTACATTCACCAAACAAATGTTTGTTGAGCATTTACTATGTGCCAGACTATGAACTACATAGTGATTTTCAACCTTTTTCATCTCGTGGCACATATAAACTAATTACTAAAATTCTGCAGCAGACCCAAAAATATGTTATATTTTTTGTCCATCTGACAAGAAAAATTAAGTATAACTTTGATTCATTTATACCCAATGGCTATTGTTGTATTGGCTGTTGTCATTTTTTTTTAAAGATTTTATTTATTTATTTTTAGAGAGGGAAGGGAGGGGGAGAGAGAGAGAGAGAGAGAGAGAGAGATCAATGTGCGGTTGCTGGGGGTTATGGCCTGCAACCCAGCAATGTACCCTGGCTGGGAATCGAACCTGGGACACTTTGGTTCCCAGCCCGCGCTCCATCCACTGAGCTACGCCAGCCAGGGCTGTTGTCATTTTTTTATTTGATAGTCTAAGGGAAAGGAGGTCAGTGTCCCTATCTAAATAGTCAGGTATTGCATGTTTTAAAAATTCTTGTGGCACACCAGTTGAAAATCACTGAACTAGAAAATAAGGTCGGTGTACTTAGGGACCATGACTAAACTATTCATCACTCTATTTCCAGTTTTGGCCCACATTAAGACTTTTATGAAAACGGATTGAGCAAGTGAATGTCAAATGCCATATTAGATGCTGGAGATTCAAAATGTAACTGGGCAAAACATAACCAGGCAGAACATGGTCCTTTTGTATTCACTTAGAATGTTATAGCTGCTTAAAGAAAGTTACAAATGTTGGCCTCATGTTTGGCTTCCCCTTAATGGTCTGCACAGGAGGGTGAACTATCCCTTCATGAGTGTCGGAGAGATCATTCTGAGTATTCTGTCCATTTTAGAGGAGCCAGGGGAAATCAGTAGAAGGCGAGGAGCAAGGTCCAACTGCTCAATTATTAACCTCATCTAGCAAAGCTCTGCTAGGGGAGGCCTAAGCTCCTGGCTCAAACAATACAGCAGTGCAGTAGAGGAAAGAGGCTATTTCTTGAGTGTTGCTAATGATCTCCCTGATGAGAAGTAAATGAACTGAAAAACAGTCATCTCAGTTATTTGTTTTCCTTCCCACTTATCCCTCAGGATCACAACTGAAAAAGGAAGACTATTGGTAGAATAGGAGAATATATTCTTCCACCTCTGCATAGACCTGGGCAGTTTCTGCTCCACTAGTTCCCAAGAGTCTGGCCTGCAGCCCACAAGTGGAAAAAAGCAGACCTAACTGATAATGGGTCTGTGCTCCTGAAAAACAAATAAATAAGCAAACAAACAAAACAGATGATGAACCCAATTTTAAGTCAGCCAGGAGGGAAACTGATTTCACGGAATCTTTGTTAGGGCTTTTGTGTTCATGGTTGACTGGGGTTTACAGGGCTCAAAGGGGTCAGAGTTCATGAGGTGGTCAACAGCTCATCTATTCCAATACACCGCCAGAAAACGTCCTGTCCTCTGGGCATAATCCCCCTACTTATTTTCCTCAGCTTCTTTCCAAACAAGAAAATAGTCTGCCTGAAGCTTCATATACTTTCATCTCCATAAAATCTGGACAGACCAAGGACAAAATTTCTTGCTCAAGTCCCCAGAAACCATGGAAGAAAAGGGCAGCATTAGAAAAGAAATACTAGGTTCTTCCTTCTTTAAGTGAATACGGTCAACATTATTTGGGCAGAATTTGGTCAGGGATTCAATGTTTATTTTCTCTAGAAGATAATTACAGTTCCTTGATTTCAGGTACAAATTCACTATCTGTTATTAATATGACAGTAACTTTCACATACTACTTTGCAATTGAAGAGGTGCTTTTACATCTTATTTCATCTCATCCTTACCAACCCATGAACTAGATACTCTTATTATATTCTTCTACAGTGATCCAATGATACATAGATAACAATACACATCACTGGGGCTAAAATTCTCATTTTTCCAATCTGCCTAGAGGTGGCAAGGGCAGTTAAGTGCCTCGCAGACTTGCACATATGAATATACTGCTCCATGTGATATAGACTGGAAAAGCAAATGAACAAGCAAGCTGCTGGGAGTTCTCCATGGATGAGGTACAACGCTTCCTGTCACCAACCCTATCACCTCCTCCCTTCCCTGAAGTGGTGCTGAGAAAAGTATTCCCAGGAAAGGCAAGGATACATATCTGCAATATTCTCCGCAGAGATTTACACAGATTTACATACCGTTTTGTGCAGATTGGTTGTCACATTTTAAAAGTTTAAATTCCAGGCACATAAAATAAGTTCCCTATTCTCTGGAGAAAGAGGCTTGTCACATTAAGCTGCTTTATATAAAGGCACTCTGGCACATGTTCACTTAGAAGTAAACACTTATTCCAGGTAAGTCATAAAACCATCAGTACATACTCTGAGTGTGAAGCAGGTGCCCCCACTCTCAGCCCAGGAATTTGCCTGCAAATGAAGTACATGTGTGGATACTACTAATCTACTCCTTACATGGAAATGGAATATCATTATATAATATATAAAAGGGTACTGTAAACAATATGGTATATTAGATAAATATGGCATACTATAAAAATAAAAAGTATAACATTATTTGTATTATTAGTAATATTGACTTCAGATTTTTCTGCCTCTTATAATTACTTAAGAGGCTCTCAGAATTTCTACTGTCATCCTAGGTTCTTCACTTGAAGTCAAACTTTATTTCAAACCAAGAGTTTATGTGGACCAAGCACCACTATAAATATATTCCAAACATATCTAAGTATACAAGAGCAAGGTATAGATTAGGAATTTCACATGATCCAAGAAATAGATATATGTTTTCACCATGATGTGAAATTGTGATTGCTCTGCCTAGATGATCCAGATGGCCTTCATCAACTAGATGGAACTCCTTTAACCGCTGAAGACATTGTCCAGAAAATTGCTACCAGGATTTACGAGGAAAATGACAGAGGAGTATTTGACAAGATCGTCTCTAAACTTCTGAATCTTGGTCTAGTGAGTCATATGCATGAAAATAAACCAAATTCTTAGTACAGTTTGGAGTATGCTATGAAGCCAAGTCATTCGCTTCAAATAGCCAAATGTTTATAATGCATCTCCTTTATACTAGGCACTGTTCTTTCCCTCTAGAAATTTATAGTCTATCAGAGGAATTAGACAAGTATACACACGCATACAATGGAAGCAGCATAAGAACCAGAAGATCAGTTTAGTTTGCCAGAGGATGGATTATATCCAGTTGAGCTATAAGGAAAATCTTCAGAGGAGGAGGTGTTTGAAGTGAGCTTAGAAGGATGCTTAGGGTTTAACCAGCTTAAGTAAAAGATATTGTGAGAGGAGAAGGAAATAACATCAACAAAGGCATGCTATGTTTGGGAAACAAAGCAATCCAATTTGAGCCTGCTTCAGCTTGGCTCCCCAGTCCTACACAGCCCTGGCAGGCTTTAGTAGGGTGCAAAATGTGTAGGTTTCCAGGTTACCTGACTTGCAGCTGAGGATTGAGAAACAATGGTCAAGATGTGTCTCAAAGTAAGTGTTCTGTGGGTTTCAACAGACAAGCCTGACTACTTGTACCATGAGCCCAAGACACTTCTTCCCAGGAGTGCCGGTCACTCACTGTGAAGACCTACCTGTGGGGAGGCATAAACAAGGGTTGTCCAGAAGAGAGATCAGAAGACACCATAACTTTTCGGACTATAAGACGCACCCCCCCCCACCCCCCGCTCCCCGCATTTGGGAGGAATAATGGTTGTTAATGCTGCTGTTGAGTTCTGTTTACATTTATATTGGTGAAATATTATGTTATTTATGTTATTAAATATTTTACCACATTTTTTGCTTCAAAACTTTTATCCTATTTTCTACTTCTAAAACCTAGCTTCATCTTATGGTCCGAAAAATACGGTACTCTTGTCTTCTAAAAATGTGTTCAACTACAGTTTAGTCTAGATTTTTTTTTACCATACATTTTGACTCTTTATAACAGATCACAGAAAGTCAGGCACACACACTGGAAGATGAAGTGGCAGAGGTTTTACAAAAATTAATCTCTAAGGAAGCCAACAGTTATGAGGAGAGAACCAATAAACCCACAAGCAAGACTGAGAGTCAGACTGGAAAAATACGAGAGAAAGTGGTATGTATATGTGAATGTGCATGAATATGCTATGTACACATGTATACACACATGTGCATGGCCATGAGTTTGTGTGTGTATACTCGTGTTTGTATATAATTAACATGATCTGTATATAATCAGTACCTCACTTGGAGCCAAAGAACATTTGGGTTATGTGACATTTTTAGCCAACTTAAATATTGATGAAGTACTAGTAAGTTAAAAGATATAAATGAACTCGACTTTGACAATAATTTAGACATATATGTGATATTATATTAAAAATAAAGGTTACATCTTATACCCTGCAGTGTAATAACATGATATTATGTAAAATGGATATTTTACATAACTATTTGTATAATCCTAGTGTAATGAAACTAAATATTTCCAAGCTTTTTTGGTATCCAACTCCTGTTCACTGTGGATATCATTATATGTACCCCAGATTTAAAAAAATCTAGAAGCCATGTTGATTTGATCTTCTGCCATACCAGCATTTCTATTCCCCAGAGGTAGCTTGCCTGATGCTCCCTCTGCTCTACCCTGTGCTCTCTCACCTTCTCCTGCCTTCTTTCACTGGCTCAGAGGTCTGTCTGTCTTCCTTTACTTAGACCAGTCATTCATTCTTCCTTTTCCTTGCTGGAGCCCTTTGCTCTGAAATCTTTGTCTCTTTCTTGAATTCTCTTTAAAACTCTAGATGGAGCTAATGATAGGAAGATATCAAACTCCCCACCTCTTCTTTGGTTTTTCTTCACCAGAGCACCCACACCCCATGGCTTCTTATTCCCTTCAACATCCTATCCCAAATACCAGGAAAACATCTATATAAGCTTCTATACCCCTGCTTTAGAGGAGGCTAGAACACAGAAAATGGGTCTAGTTTCTTGTTAGTAGGTAGTCTGAAACCTCTCCTTTGTTCTCCTTACCTCCAATCCCCATGAGCTGCCATCTTTTTAAACAGTTTTTGAAGATCTACCCACTGTAAAAATCTTTCTAGGTTTGTCAAAGAACTTATGACTTTCACTCAAGCTTACCAGTCTGAACTGAAACTGACATAACAATTTTCACTTTTTTTCACTCCAATTATGTACTCCTTGTTTCCAATCTCTAAAATATCCATGTTCTTCACCTGTTCACTCGTTATCTAAATGCATCAATGCAAATGAAATATTCTTTAATAAATATTTATTGAGGTACCAACTGTGTACAAGCACTGGGGATATAATGCCCATTTAAAAAGACACAGTCCCTGCTCTCAAGAAGCTTAAGATCTAATGGAAGAGGTAGATGGTCTTCAAATAGTCATGTATTCTAACTACAACTGCATTAAGTGCTCTGAGGAAAGAAACATGGTTCTATGAGTCCTTATAAAAAAAGGAACCTATCCTGGCCTTAGGCTCAAGGAAGGCTTCCCTAAGGAAGTGACTTGAGCTGAAAACTGAAAGCTGAATGACTCAACTCGTGACCAGGAAAGGCAGCATGTAAAGAAGGACATATGGAGTATCCAAGCAACTAAAACAAGCTCAGGCTGGCAAGTGGAAGGAGAGCAATGAGAGATGAGACTGGGAAGTGGACCCAGGCCAGGCCAGGCCAGGCCAGGCCAGGCAGGGCCTTATGAGCCTGTTATGGATTCTGACCTTTATCATAATGATGGAAAAACACTAAAAGATTATAAGCAAAGGAGTTACATGATTAGTTTTTTAAAAAGACTACTCTGGCTACAAATGTGGAAGATGCAGTGTGAGGAATAGTTTGGAGGTGGGTGGTGTAGCAGTTAAAAGGTAAGAGGTAAAGGCAGCATGGGCTAGAGTTGGGTAAGGAGAAAAAGAGAAATGTACAAATTTGGGATACGTTTTGAAAGTAGGACCAAAGGGCTACTGATGGATTGAATGGAAGAAAAGTAAGAGAAAGAAGAAAAAAAAGCTTATAAACTTCTGTTTAGTTCACTGAGTGGAGAATGGGTCATGAATATGAGAACCCCAGACATGGATCAGGTTTAGGTAAAAGAGTCTTGTGCACCCTTCTAGACAAGACAGTCCTTAAAATGTTACCCAGAAACCTCCATGGTGTGACTGTTCTACTAGTTTTAGGTATTCTGACAAGATTTCCTATACCTTGCACCATCTTTCTTACTAAGAGTCTGTGAACTCAAATCTCCCCAGCCCCACCTCAGCTTGGTGAGAGGCAATTTTACCAGGAAACACTCTTGAGAACTGATGGAGGGGAACTGGGTCAGAGCAGAAACCTAGAAATTCCCTACTTCTCTCCTGAGCAGGATCCAGGGTCTTCAGTCTCTATGTCCCAATGACTTTTTCATGTTTCTAGTTTGATCCTGCAGAGCAGGTGGAGGAGGAGGTATTCCTACAGTCAAGGGCAGGATAGAGGAAAGAACCAAGCCGGCGTGTCATTAGTTCTAACAAAATGTTTATTTTTTATTGATTTTTAAATTCCCACTGGAGACTCCAATGGCAGCAATTCAGGATGGTTTTGCTGATGGAGAAAATGATGAAACCGTATCTAACACCTTAACCTTGACAAATGGCTTAGAAAGGAGAACTAAAACCTACGGTGAAGACAACTTTGAAGAACTTCAGTATTTCCCAAACTTCTATGCACTGCTGAAAAGCATCGATTCAGGTAAAAACTGTTTTCTGACCATGTGGAACAGAAACAGTAATTCCAGGAAATGTGTGGGTGGCTTTCTCTTCCTGTTTTCAGTATCTAGATGGAATCCTCGATGACATATATCGTGACCTGGGGGACAACAGTTCACATACATGTTTTCTAAAGTGTACGAGTCATGGAAATATTGAGAAAAGGGTAATCAGGAAAGGCAGAATTTCTGGACAATTTAATCCTCTTGTTGACAGATGGCTTATGTATTTGCTCAGCAAACAGTTACTGAGCACATGTGCGGTCGTGGTACTGGAGCGAACCTGGTGCAGGTGAGAGGTGAATCAGTGTCCCAGTTCAGCCTCAACTCTTATTGCAAATATTTTTTAAAGCTTTTATTCATTTTCTTCTTAGTGGGAACAGTGTGTGGACCATAACTGATTATTTTTAAGTGATTCAGAATTTTGCTTTTTAGATATTTTTAGCTTCCCCTTTCAAATGATTCACAGTGAAATAAACATTGGACTAAAGGAGGTCAGGAGCCCAAAACACACTTGGAAAATGATAATGTTTTTTCAAAACAAAGTCCTTAATGTTCCTTGCTCTTTTCTCTTACATGTGTATCAAAATGAGTTAGCTGAAGACTTCAGTTCCTCTACTTTTGGTTGATCTATGAGGAGGATACCATTGGGCAAAGTTTCTGTTATTGATACTGTCCACACAGATGGCCTGCACTGCCTCAATGGCTCTTCCTCTTCCTATTTAAAGATTCAGGCTTGGACTGAGCATTTGTAATAAAGGTTTCTGTAAATGTAACAATATTTCCCCAGGAAGTGACCTTAGAGTGAACTTTCATTACTAAACAACATCCTTTGTCTTTAAATTCCAGACAGTGGCCAGACGGCACCAGCCCCTCTGCTGGTGTCTGCAAGGTTTGTAATCCTGAGGGTCTGTTCTGAGCCATCTTGCCCCACTGGCTGGCAGATGCCCAGCTCAGAACCTCTGTCATCCTGGTGATTCACTTCTTGTCAGTGAAGACCATCAGCAGGATACCAAATACTTATATGGAGGTGACCTTGAGTAACTAATAGGATGGCTGAAGTTATTTACCAGCCCTTTTTCAAGAGATCTCCCCACACTTCTTCTCCTACCTTTTCTCTCTCCCAACCTTGTGACTTTTATGGTATTTTAAAGATTCCATTGTATGGAGTGTTCCTCATTTTATTTGTTTTTAATCTTTTAGGTTCTTTGACCCTATTCCATATTGCCTTTATATCTGTAGACTTTTAATTTAAATACTTACACTGAGGTCTTTGATAGTACCTATCTTTCTTACCCAAGGTCTGAACCAACTGAGAAATAATAAAGCAGGTAGAAAACCAAAATATCTCTGATACTGATAAAGATGAGGCTGTGGAATGTAGCTTAGTATGAGAGCCCATAATGGGCTTACTCGCTCTCACTCCTCAGTCTAGCTCTTGAAACAGCCAATTCCAGGGATAGTGAGAGTCTGCAGATCCAGTGCTTTTCTCAGGCCCCTGCCTTCCACTGTTCCAGGGGAGTGGAAAATAGAAAGATGTCCAATCTCCATTGGTAGAGAAGTGTAGACTGATACCTATTGGCTACTAACCTCAAGTGTGGGGAGGATGAAAAGATGGGGAAAGGCTAAAAGTGAGTCGAGAAAATCCTTCATAGCAGCTAAAAGAATAGGGAAAATGAGCTCTCTAGCATCATAGTTTTTCTCTTCAAAAGTGGAAATAGATTCTTTTCTGCTTTTAGAATTAATACATCTACTGAACTCCTATGCAATCATTGGCCATCTTGTCACACCAAGATGCAGAACAGTGTGTCAAATATGAAAAGCTCCCAAGAAACTCTTACTAGTGGTTACCCACAGGGAGTAGGAGCCCCGAGGTGGAGGAGAATGTTACTTTGACTCTTATTTACTTCTGTACTATTGCAATATTTTTAGTGTATACATATATTCTTTCAAATGAAATACAGTGTAGGAAGAAATATATACAACTGTTAGAATAAACTTTACATTTAAAAAATAAAGATATGTGTGTGTTTATTTAAAATATTAAGCTTGATTAATGAAAGCAGGCTGTTCTTGCCCCCTCACATGTACAGCCTGAGTGGAGGAAAGTTGTTGAGTCACCGATCTTCTGACGTTCCTTTCGAGTCCACGTTGTCTCTGGCCATAAACTGTCTCTGTCATCTACTCCACTAATAAAGCATTTCAGATTCAAATAAATCTTTTGGGGGAAGTAATAATTATCCATTTTAGGAAAATTTAGTATACCTGTACATTGCCCCAATCAAGTCTTAGGCATTTTGTACATTAAATACAAGTGGTTTTAAGTATAAATGTGGGAAGAAATATTTCAATAAGATGCTGTACTTCATCAACTGACATTGAAAGGTGAAGCTGTGCTCCACTAGTTTTTTAAAAAGTATATATTTTTGTCTTTCTATATAGAAAAAGAGGCAAAAGAGAAAGAAACACTGATTACCATCATGAAAACGCTGATTGACTTTGTGAAGATGATGGTCAAGTACGGCACTATATCTCCAGAAGAAGGGGTCTCCTATTTGGGTGAGAGTCCTGTCTGTTTTGTTTTCACTGTTTTAGTTTTCATCATTCAAAGGGAGGTGGGGATTTGGTAGTAATTACTTCAGTAATCTGATAATTTATGCCAAAATACCCTGAATCATCTGGGTAACCAGAATTGCCCAGTTTGGTAATACATACAAATACAATTAAACAAAAGTTTTCAGCTTTTAATCTTTATTGATCCAGCTTGAGTACAAACATTTCATATTTGTTATATTTTGTTTTGCTAATAGTTTCTAATAATCTCCATGACAGAGACAATTTTATTAAAATCGGACTTTTTTTTCAATTGTATTTGAATGTTGGGACTAAAAGAGTCTTGATTTTAACCAGTGAGGTCTGTATGTGATAAGGAGGAAAGAACACTAGACTGGGCACCAGAAGTTCTATCTGAGACCAGCTTTGTCATGTGGCTGAAGACCAATGCCTCAGTTTCTGTATCAGTAATGGACTTGGTTATCTGCAGCAGGGCCAGTGAACTCCTGCCCATGACCAACTCTGGTGCATTACCTATTTTTGTATAGCACCCAAGCAAAGAACGGCTTTTATATTTTCAAGCAGTTGGAAAAAATCAAAACGAGAATAGTATTTTGTGACACAAAAAAATGATGTAAAACTCATGTTTCAGTGTTAGTAAATGAAGTTTTATTGCAACATAGCCATTCACGCTTGTTTCAGTATCCATGGCTGCTTTTGTGGTACAATGGAAGAGTTGAATAGTTGAGACCCTATGGCCTGAAAGCCAAAAACCTTCCTTTACTATCTGGCCCTTCACAGAAAACGTTTTTCTATCCTTGATTCCTGGAACTTTATAAATAAGCTTGGACATTTTTTGATACTGCATGTAAGTTGTTGTTGTTGTTTTCAAGTCTTTTATTTTCCTGTGTGGTTTAGTTAGTCAACAAATACCATTCACCCCTGATGTCCTTTGGGCAAGACGCCTTCACAGTCCTTCGATCTCGGGTGAGGGAGGGAGAAACAAATAGAAGAGAACATCTCGTGGGACAAAGTAGAATTATTCTGTATGAACTCCATTTTTTCTGCTTAAAAAGAGTTGTACAACTTTTTTCTGATTATAAAAGAGCATATTTATTTTAAAAAGTCTTTCAGTGCAAAAAAGGAAATAAAAAATCACTCAATACCAGCAGTGATGTAACATTTTGGTTCATGTCTTTCCAGATATTTTCTGTGCGCGTGTGTGTGCAGGCACACATGTATACCTAGGTCATTTCTCCTTTTCTTTTGTTTAATGAAAAACGGATTCACATTACACACAGTGCTTCTCGGCCTACTTACTCAATTAACAGTAGATCAAAGACATTGTTTCGAACCAGTCATTGTTTCATACCAATATTCCATGACTCAGAACTTCCACATTTTAGTCATTTATCCTATAGAAATAAATTAGAGATGTCACAAGGCTTATAAACAAGGTGGATATTTCCACTACTGTTTATGGCTGTGCTGTGCAGTATGGCAGTCATTAACAACATGTTGCTATTAAAATTGTAAGTAATCAAAATTAAACGAAATTTAAAACCCAGTTTTTCATTTACACTAGGTGCATTTTAAGTGCCCAATTGCCACATGTACCTGGTGGCTACCATGTTGAACAACAAAAAACTAACTATTTCCATCATTGCAGAAAGTTCTATTGGACAGCACTGTTTATAGGAACAAGACAATGGAAATAACCTAGATACTCCATAAGAGGGAACATCTAAAATAAATTATTTAGTTATTCTTATGTTAGACTATTTAAACTGTACTTTTAAATATTTGTGTGTTTAATAATTGTATGCTTATTACATATGCAATATAATTATTGTTTATAAAGATTAATGACAGGAGGAAATGTTCATGATATGCTGTTGAATACTTAAAGCCATTTAAAATGTAACCTCAATCTTGGTGGTAAAAAAATGAATGTATGTATAGAAAATTGGAAGGAAATATACCAACATATTACCTGAAATAAAACAATGCATCTCCTCAAAAGAGTCATGGTGTAGGATAGAAGGAGAAGTTTACTTAGGGAGAAATAACACAATCCATAATAATGGATTCTTTACATATTAATTGCAAATAAATGCTTGTGTGCAAATAGCAGAAAAGTCCAGCCCTATTAGTGAGATGAATGTGGCTGGTTGAATAACTGAATACAAAGAGTGTGGATTTTAATGCGTTGTCTCCCTTGAGGTGGTTACAGTCTAGACCCATGTCTAGTTAGGACAAAGTTAGCACAAAGTTAGAACAAAGACAAGGATACAGATTTCATCCTGATAGGAATAGGGAAATTATTAAAACTGCCTAAGACTACCTAACAATAGAACTGGGTGCCTCATGAATTAATGAGAACCCTAAATGATGGAAATTCCAACTTTTTGGCTTAAACAAAAAGAAAATTTAATTGTCTCATGTAACTGAAAATTCCAGGTTTGGGGATGGTCTCACTTCAGGTTTGTGAAGTCCAGCAACATGTGAGGAGGCTATCCTTCTCCATCTCACAGCTTTGACTTTTCATATGTTAAATTATTCCAGACAAGCTGTTTCCTTATAGGAAAAATATGGCTAGCACGACCCCAATCTCACATTCTCACAGTACACCAATTCTACAGGGAAAGAGAGCCTCTTTCTCCCAAAGGTTCTACCACTGACTTTCATTGGCCTGGCTTGAGTCAGTTTATTCTCCTTGAACCAATCACTGCAGCCCAGGTGATGGAAGACACTGAGGAGCCAGGTAGGGCTAATTCAGCCCCCACTTGAGCCAAATGTGCTGAGAATGAAAGAGCTCTGGGTTCTCCAACAGGAAATCAAGGCGTAGTTATGGGAAGGTGTGGAGGAGGCCAAAACCACAGGTATCCACTAGAAGTTTCAACCCTGGGCATGTTCTAGCAGTGGCCACAAAAATATGGAAGGAACTTCTGCAGTTAACTGAGTAGGAGGCTTAACTTGAGGATCTCAAGTAGTATTCTTTTTTACCCTGAGAATCTATGATTCCTAGAAATAAAATCTGTGTCAAAGCATCTTATTGGACGTGTTAATATTGTGGAATTGCTATTGTGATACTTCTGGTGAAATGTAAACATTTTTAGTAGAAGTTTGATATCATCTTTCAGAAACTAAAATTATATTTCTTCCCCTCCTCCTTCCAGAAAACTTGGATGAAACGATTGCTCTTCAGACCAAGAGCAAGCTAGAAAAAAATTTTACTGACAATATAAGCAAGCTTTTCCCAGGTATGACTTATTTAATGATTTTTTTTAGCTTTTAGCACAACATCCCTTTTGAGTGATAAATAATTAACTTTCAATAAGCATTGATAAAGAATTATAGACTTTTAAAAGTTTTAAAATCTGGCATCCAGTCATAGATTTAAGTAGCTACAACCTTGGTTACTTTGAGGCTAGTCTCAGCACAGAAATCTGGTCCCAAGCAGCACTGAAAATCAATGTGCACCTTGATTGAAGATTCTTAGAAGGTGGCCATAGGCCCACACAGCTGCTATAGTCCCAAATCTTAGCTGCTTCTATGAATAATAAACTGTTCTTTAAAAAATACAACATAAAGGAGAGATTGGGCAACTGTAGACTTATTGGCATTTGGAATCAAGACTCAAATTTACTTTGGGACCTGACATATCCCACTTGATTGCCTATATTAATTAAAGTAAGGAAAATAATTTACACTCTAATGACACAGTGTGGCAAAAGAGAAAGAGCACTAAACCAAAATCCAGAAAGCCAGTGGGTTGGCCCAGCTCTTCTGCTAACTCAGTAGGTGACCTTGACCTTTCTCATCTCTGGGCATCAGTTTCCTCTTCTGTGAAATGGGAGGAGGGAGTTGGAGTAGATAATCACTGAGATCTCTTTCAGCTCAAAAAATGTTTCTGCATCTTTTCAATAAAGTTTATTTCTACATTAGGAATTAACTAATAGATATAGAGTAGGGTTATAACATCAGTACACAATCTGATTCCAGCGCCATCAATGCAGAGTCATGAAGAAACAGATAGTACCAAGCAAGAAGCAGCTAAGATGGAAAAGGAATATGGAACCTTGAAGGATTCCACAAAAGATGATAACCCAGGAGGAAAAACAGATGAGCCCAAAGGTATGGAATTGACATTTCTGGGTTGGCAGTGGAATTGAGGAAGCAAAAACTTTCACCACACCTGGAAGGGTGATCCAAAAGTCAAGTTACACCAAGTTAGAGAAATTAACACCATCTGTATAGAAAAGATTGAGCATGTGATATCTTTACTTGAACAACAAGCTTTTTTAAAAAATAATGTTCCTGAGTCTCCTGGGATGGCAAATGGGTTTTTATCCTTTCGATGGTCTTCAGTGTCCAATGGACAGTTGTCCATAGGGAGGAATACTCATGATCATTTGTGCATTGTTCAATGTCCAGTTTAGGATCTTAGGAATTTATTAAGCAGTATTTCTTTAAATGCAATTGTTGACACTTCTCAAATAGTCACATACTACTTATTCAACAAAGTCATCAAAATTTATGGATTTAACACAGAAAAAAATTTAAATTGTTTACAGTGATTACAACCTGACTCTTTTAGACATTTGATTAAAAATCATAATAAAATATATCAGATTTCCTTAAATAAACTAAATACCTTGAAAGGCAAAAAATATATTCAACTAATTCAATAATTTAAAAACCTATGTTTTTATCTTTATTCTTACCTATTCCTGAGGTCCAGTTTTTACTCTGCCTTAGTAAGTCTACATGATACAAAATTCACATCTTCCTAGGATTTTGGAAACTTTACCATACCCTGAAAGAAAAGACCTATGAGGCTGCAAGTTCTACATTGTTACCCCTTTGATTTCAGGTCAGGATATAGGGTCTGGTTGCATAGTCCAGTGGTTCAAGTGCCATTTATTACAGTGTTCTATTTAGATCATGGAAAATTTATAACCCTATCCCTCAAACAGATATTTTTTTCTGAAATTCAGTGTTGTTGTTGTTATTTATCAGAAATTGTGAACACATGGCATGAACCTGCCTCATTTTTCTGTCACTATATGTTGACCTCTTTGGTATAATTGGCACTTTACTTACATCTTAGCATCTTGTTAGCAGGGTCATCTAGAGGTTATTTCCCCTAAGGGCTGAGGGAGTGAGTCCTTGCGCTCTCTTGGGGAGTGGGCATGGCATTCAGCTAATTTATCATCTGAAAACACACCATTGGGTTCTCTTTTATTGTTTATTGTGTATAATATTATCATTAATGAACTGATGGACTTTGCTTGTTCCCTGCTATAGTATGACATGAGGTCACAGAGCCGATCGTGTTCACAGGATAGCTTTAATTTTGAATCAACTGCTCAACCCACTTGCATTGCCCAATCTTCCCTGCTCATACGGATAGAAACAGGTTCTCATTCCTACTTGACAGAACCAATGCTTAACAGTGTTTGTGTATTAAATAGAAAAGAAAGAGATTAGCTATGAAGACAATACCTTGTAGCTTAATAAAAGCAACAAAATTATCATTTTTGTTTTATATCCCTACTATGTTAACTTTTTCCACTTTTGTGTGTGTTCTAGATGATGATGATGATGATGATGATGATGATGATGACGATGATGACTTTATGCTGATATGGGTATATCTTGGGCAGTAGGAACCCTGTCCCCAAGTTTGTCTTTTGTCCTTTTAAGCACTGATCAGTGGTTTTCTAAATCATCTTTGCTCTCTGGCAACAATAGGATATCCTAGATCCATTCTGAATTTTCCTGTCCCAAAACTTGACATCAATTCTCCTTCAAAGAGTTCTGATTCATTTATAGAGACCTGAACCTGGGTTATGTGGGTTCAGATTGGCCAAAGCCAATGCTTTGATTTCAGTTATTTTAGGACTTTTTGAGACAGTGCTGAAAAAGAAATTTTTTCTAAGTATATCAAGTTCATGTTGATTTTTCCTATCTTGTAAAGTTTTATATTATCATACCCTCCTTTGCTCTGGCATGGATTTCAAAGACATTCACAATTTTCTCCTATGCCAACATAGCTGACATACCAAGTCAAATGGTTTGGTAGTAGCCTGTGTTAAGAATGGTTATGATGTTGCTTCTGGGCTCAGGAGGAAAGAGTATGGGAATGACTGACTGACTAACAATGTTTGTCATGGGCAGTGGAAAGGGATTGGTAAGATATGTGCCCTGTTTGTTGACTCCGTAGACCAGCTACGCTATCTTGATACTTCTACTCAACCCTAGACCCACTCTGGATCAGTGATAAACTTTAATCCTTTTTTTTTTTGAAATTGTGTTAAAATACACACAACACACATTTTACCATCATAACCACTTTAAGCGCACAGGTCAGTGACATAAAGTAAATTTGTACTGTTGTGCTGCCATCAGCTCCATCCATTTTCAGAACTCTTTCAGGCAAAACAGAAACTCTACTCATTTCCCCTCCTTCCCCAGCCCCTGGTAACTACCATTCTACTTTCTATCTCTGAATTTGACTAATTAGATACATCATATAAGTGGAATCTTACAGTATTTGTTCTTTTCTGACTGGCTTATTTCATTTAGCATAATGTCCTCAGGTCTCGTCTATATTGTGGCAAATGTCAGAATTTCCTTCCTGTTAAAGATTGTGCGATATTTCATTGAATGTATATATATTTTATTTATCCATCTGTTTGTCTATGGACAGTTGGGTTGCCTCTAACTTTTGGACATTGTGAATAATGTTGCTGTGAATATGGATGTACAAATATCTCCTTGAGGTCCTACATTCAATTTTGGAAGTAATATTCCAGAAGTGAATTGCCAAATCATATGATCATTTATTTTTAATTTTTTAAGGAAACCCATACTGTTTCTGTAGCAACTCTACCCTTGTATATTTCCATCATCAGTGTCCAAGTGTTCTAATTTCTCTACATCTTCACCAACACTTTTATTTTCCATTTTTTTCGTGGTGGCTGTCTTAATGGGTATGACATGGAAGATGAGTGGTAAACTTCTGAGAGGTAGCTAACCAGGAAGAGAGTGGTCCTTTGGCCTGAAACAGAGAGCCAGAAATTAGGCAGCAAAAAATGCTACAGCCCGTTCCAACAGAAACCCAGTGTGCCTGAATCATCTCCCCTGAAAGCAGCCCATGTGTAACGAATGTATTTCCCTAGAACACAGCAAGCAATCGTCTAGGTCCTTTAACTTGCTGAGATTGCATGTCCAGTGCCTAAGACAACACCTTATAGACTGTGCAAATATTCCTAGAAATGGGTGCTGACGGGTCTCTTTGCTTATTTTAGGAAAATATTATGCTAAAAAGGAATATGAAGGAGTTGATTCTTGATCACCTACTATGCCTGTTTAGGATGAGAGTGGAGACTAATGATGAGGTTAGACTTCTTTTTCTCATTAAAATTTCCATGAGATAATAATGGGGAGAGAGGAAAGAGAAACTCCATCCATTCAGTGTCACTCTGTGTGGTGGCACTCCTGAAACATTAAAAAGAGGGTAGGGATTTGGGACTCATTATTTAGAGATTTAATTTATTCATGCTACTCCTGACCGCTATTACTCTGGGATAAGGAAACATGATGCTAGTACAGTTTAGAAAATACCAAACTGAGCTCTAAGCCACAGGCAAATATTTCTTGAAAAAAATGTAATTAATCCCCTCCAATTCATATTATGATATATACCTTTGTATTCACAATTGCTTTATTGCACTTTTTTCAAAATCAATTTTGTTTCTCTATTATAAAATCCACTGAGGAAACACTTGTCTTTAGGCAGAAAAATAAAAGCATCCATGTGGAGGAAATTAGGGTTGATTGGGTTTTCTAAGATATTTATTCAGCAACAAATAAACATTTATTCCGATGGCCTGCCTGCCACTGTGTTCAGGAAGTAGAGCTACAGAAAGAATACAAGAACCACTGCCTGACTTTGAGAACTCAAGCAAGCTTTGAAATGACCTCAAGCAGTTCTTAACCCATGTGAGGGCAAGTGTAACACAAACTACATCCCTTATTGTTGAATCAGGAGTATGTAGGACAGGCTTCCTTCTGAGATAAAGCTGAAGGACATTACAGAGCACAGCAAGGGATGAGCTATGCTCTTCCCAGCTAAAACCGCTTAAGAAATTAATCATAAGCAAGACACATTGGCAGGAATATCTGTAGAGAGTCTGTTTTAGTCTTGCAATGTGAGGTGTGGCTGCACATATTTATTAACCATGCCAAGCATATGTTGGGTCTTTGTGAAACAGGAATAATAATAATAATAATAATAATAATAATAATAATAATAATACCCTACTTTTATATCACCCTTCAACTTACAGAGCATGTTTACATGTATTTCATTGTAGGCAGACAATGTAAAATGATCCAATTGAATCACCAATGATGAAAATGACACATTCACCTTTGAATATTGCTTAGTTTAACTACTTAAACTCTTGTTTTCTATAGGGACTCATATTAAGAACAATATTTTAAAATATTGATTTTTAATTGGTGCAGGTATTTAATGATTTGATAATTAGTCCTAAATTTAGGGCTATGCCAATGAAATTGAATTTATCATTTCAACCATATGTATAAAGTTGCTTAACTTTTTAAGTAAATTACTCCCTGAAGACCAAAGAAAAGTACTTTAAAACTTTATTGAATGACCTAAGCATGCTCTTTTTCTTTGCCAGTTTGATATTTCTTCATTCACTTCTACTTTATGAGTCACTGAAAATATTTTTTTAAATCATCCAAGGGATGAGATAAACCTTATAATACTCTTTCCAGTTCTATCATTTGTCAGGTTTATGGCCACATAATGAAATTGGGTTTAAAAAGTAATCTCTAAGTTACCTTTCACCTAAATATCCTATCATTTCCATACTTTTACAGAAGCCAGAAAAGAGAAGGTAGCCTACTTAATTAATAAATCGATAAACTGACTAACTCATGTGGATCTTATTTTTAAAGCAACATAAGTGGAGGAAATTCATGCTTTTATTCAAGTCCTAAGGCATTTTGCTAGAAGTAGCAAAAATAGCTAGAAGTAGCCCAAAGTAGCGAGTCCAGTCTTCTCCCCTGTGAGTCAGCGAGTGTGCCGAGAGCTAAGC